TGTCTTTTTCAGCGAGGCTAAGTAAAATGGAGTATGCTAGGAAAATGTATCTGGTTCCTAAAGCGCAGCTTGAAAAACTGCATGATACCACAGCTCCTAAAGATACGATAAGGCAGACTGCTGAAAGCGAGCTGGACATTTCAATATGCAACATTTTATCAAGAATGGATGTTGCTGATCACGAAAAGGTCCGCTTGTACACAGTGGTGCTACAGAGATATTTGACTTTGGCCAGACAAGGTGATAATGAGCCCATATCTTTGACACTTCCCACTGAAGAGGCCGCAGTAGATAATGCAGGGACTGCACGCACCACTGTTGCTGATGATGCTGGGGACACCATCATGGAAGATGTTATTAAAAATGTTGCATCGCGTAAGGAGCCAGTTGAGGTGGTTTGGACATCTGGTAGGGATGCCTCCTGGACAACTACCTGGAGAGGTTTTCCGTGCATGTCCTACAGGGAGGAGGCCCCGGGGCAGAACCAGGACTCGCTGGAGGGATTATATCTCTCGGCTGGCCTGGGAACACCTCGGCATCCTCCCCGAGGAGCTGGTAGAGGTAGCTGGGGAGAGGGAGGTCTGGGTATCTCTCCTGAAGCTGCTACCCCCGCGACCCGAACCCCGGACAAGCGGAAGATGATGGATGGATGGATGGATGGATGGCATCGCGTAACAAGAAAAAGGTTGAATATATGATGGGTAAAATGCTTAATACTCGTCACTGCGTGGAACCCATGCGGGGAGTTTGTTTTTAATGGTAAAACTATCGCAGGGTCCCATATGCTCGATTTGCTTAAAAACATTACCACTTAATGTGACCGAAGCGAGAAGACCTGTGGGGCGAGTTTCTCCATATTCCTTATTAAGCAGGCACTCTATCATAGCCACATAAACACATTTCTACTTTTACAGAGCTTTTCATGGAGTTACCTTGTGAATGTCTTAGTTTCCAGCATATAGTTTTTAGTTGTTCGTGTGGTCTTGAGGAGAACGTTTCTCGGTCTCCTTATGGTAAGGCAAGGCAAGTTTTTATTATCATACACAGGGGTTATTTAATGTGCTTTATAAAAACAAGATTTTAAAAAGTTAAACCAAGACAAAAAAGCAAAATAGAGATGAAAAAAACTTATTTAAATAAAAATTGCTTAGAAAATCTGATTAAAAGTGTAGTATGTCGTGCCCCGCTCGTCCGCTCCTCCCGTGTGCCACGCACCCTCGTTAACCCCATGTGGAATCCCCGTGTTTATCAGCTGTTTCCAGTTGTTTTCATTAGTCTAATGTATGTCTGCGTTAGGTATGTTTTCCGCATTCCGGTCATTGACGTCTGTCTTGCGCTTCTTCGATGTTCCTGTTTTGTCTCCCTTCTAATAAACCCTCGTTCACCCGATCTCAGGCCGTCTGTGCTGCTTCTCCGCCGAAGGCGTGACTCAGTAAACGTACTGTACAGCTAAAAATCAGATATTTAGAGGTTTTAAATTATATCACAATGTTTTTATTGGTTTCTTTTGTTTTTTTAGGCTGTATCTCTTATCTGAAAAAAATAAACATTTGATTCCTGATGTCGTGTCCAATATATATTTTTTTCTATCCAGCTTTTATTAAACACAGTTTGGTACCTCATGACATATGTAAGGTGTATTACAGTTCTGATATATACGATTATTAATAACACAGAATTGCAATTCTAGTTTATGTATATGGTCTTTCTATATCGCGGATTTTCACCTATCGCTGGTGGGTCTGGATCCCCCGCCTATCGCGGAAGTTACGTTTCAGACCCATCAGCGGTAGGTGAAAATCCGCGATATAGAAAGACCATACACATAAACTTTTTTTTATAGTTTAAGCCTTAAAATACCACTCCCACATGCTTTGAACACATGCAAATTTATAAGAACCCTGCCGATCTTCAGGTGAAGGTGGCACTACACGCCCCCAATGCAGGTAAAACAAAGTAAGGTGACATGGTTTAATTTTTCTGATTTAACCTAATTTTAAAAACTTTAATTCTTCTGACAATGGATGTTTTGAAAAAAAGACAGATTACAGATTTAGTCAGCGTTTTTTTCATGTTTGTACAATAAGATTTCAGTGAGTTATGAACTGAAATACACAAGAAAGATAAGCGGCATCGCCAACAATGCCGTTGACCCCAGTGGGTTAAGGGGGAAGGCTTCAGGGTATCGGGTGGCATAATCACTTATAACTAAAATGAACCTGTTCCCTGCCTTGCTCCTTTCCAGGGGACCAACTATATCTACCCCAATCCTCTCAAAGGGGGTGTTTACCACAGGTAAAGTCATTAAGGGTGCATGAGCGAGGCCTTTGCCTCCTGATAGCTGACACTGGGTACAGGACTTGCAGAAGCTTTTCACATCAGCAAAAATACCTGGCCAATAAAATCGCTTGCCAATTCTCCGAAGAGTCTTCATATACGCCAAGTGACCTGCCCAGGAGGTGGTGTGACCTAGCTCCATTACCTGTTCCCTGTATTTCCCTGGGACCACAAGCTGCAAGCCTTCCTCATTCTGCCTGTATAAGATGTTATTCTGCAAGGTAAATCCTTCTTTACCTAGAGCAGGGACAAAACAAGCACCTTCCTAATCAACAGGGCCAACGTGGGTTCTGAACACTGCATCTCAACAAGATCCTCTTTAAACCTCACATCAGCATCAGTCACACTGGGTGGATCAACATCGGACTCTTCCTGTATGTCTGAATGTTCTATGACCTCGCCAACTGTCTATCTGCGCTTGTCACACCTCTCCTCTCTGGTGTATGTGGGCTCTGCTGGAACATAGCTGTCAAGTCTCCCGTTTTGGCCGGGAAACTACCTCTTTCTTGCCGTCCTCCCGTATTAGTATTTTCCCGTAAATCTCTCTTATTATAATATCATTAAAAAAAAATTCCTTTGCCTCTCCAAACTGAACTGTCAGTAGCCTCGCGAGAACTGCCACCTGCAGTAGTCTACAGGTCATTTACAACATTAACCAGGTGTTTCTTCAGTAGCTGGGTCATGACCTTAACAAAGGCACAGTAATAACAAAGGTCATAGCAACAGATGACACTCATGAAATCATTGACTAAGGAAGGTATCATTTAATGAGAGGAACATGCTGAGATACAGAGTAAAGAGAGAATTTGAAAGTATTAATGGTATCATTGTTAATGCAGGTGTGTTTTTATAATGACTAGATTATTTTTACTGAGCATGAAACACTGTTCATATCCCATTCCCTTTCATCTCATTTATACTATATTTTTGTTAAAAAAATATGAGAAATTGAGAATAAGGAAATCAAATATTTTATTTACTCATCGGAATTAATGAGAGAAGACCCCATCCAACCAAAGTGATATATGAAAAGTAATGTCACCTACATTTTTAGTATTTATATATGAAAATATAGATACATAAACTTATTCCATGTTAATCTACTACATGTCAATCCCCAGGAATTATGAGTGTAAGTGTGGTTTGTTAATAGTATTTGAAGCCATAAGCAGAAGAACAGAGTAATGGACTGAGAACGACTCGCTTGGAAAGCCATCACACATAACCAAAGGCACAGCATAGCTGTTTGCTATCGTAGGTGTTTCAGTATAAGGAAAACAAATGGTTTCTACTTAAAAGAGCATTGTCAAGGAGATGCAAGCCAAAACTTTCATCATGACCCATACTTAATGATGCCATGTACTTAATGAAGGACCATTATAGACAGATCTGTTCATCCTTCTTGCTGACCAAATTCCCCAGCCCCTCCCGGCCCCAATCTGATGTCATCTTCTCCTATTGGGTAACAATCATACACAGACACAAACAGATGCACTGCACATACAGAAAATTCAAACATCTCTCAACCCGTGTGCACACATGAACACATAGTTATATTCTATATCCGGTTACATATGCCACATACTGTATATTGTACATATAAACACATTCTCACTTGCCAATACCAATTCAGTAATATTTTGAGTAATACTCAAAACTTAAACTTTTCCTCTCTAAGGAGTGAATCCTTCATCAGTTTTTTATTAATTTAAATTTATTAATGTAATTATCTAGAACATGTGTTAGACTTTTGCTTTTTATTCATCTAAGAAAAAACAGGTGCAAAAGCATGATAAATCTTGCTGAAGTGTCCAAGCCAATTTACAAACACAGTTGAACAAAGCAGATACACATCTGTCTGAGTAAAGACCAAGGTTTCCTCTGGTCTTATTAATCAGAACAGTCACAAGAAATATGACCACTTTCCTTCTAGTCTGACATGCGATGATCCTGTTGGATCGAGGGTCTAAATATAGGGACATAATGTTATTTTCCATAGAGTTGCTGGGATCTTAATCCAACTCTGCACCAATAAAGAAGGAGTGGGTGGTCTGCTTGCATTTAAATATAGTGTGTGAAAAATCAACTGTACATCTAAAGGCTTTGAAAGGGCAATTAGCTGCTACTACTCAGAACTTTAAAATTCTTCATAACATTTTTTTGCTTTATGCCCAGGCTTAATTTTTAAGGTTACATTATAAGAGATCTTATCTTACTATTGATTGTATGGATTAGAACATGTTTGAAGTGTTTCAACTATCCAAACAGAAGTTACATACTACATAGAGAGGGATCAGAATTTATTTTAACTGTCAGACATTGCAGTTTGCACTGCTGAAGATCAGAATTTAGTGAGGCTTTAATATATCACACTGAGAGAGAGAAGATAAGCTGACTGCATCACCTAGATAACCTTGGTTGTCCTTTCCAGGACTATGCAGCTTTAAAACTATCTACAATTGCGCTTCTATATACAGGAGCTGACATTTAAATGTTCTTCAAGCACTTATCTCCACTATTTCATGGCGGGGTTTCAGAGCTGCAGCACTTTGCTCCTGTTGGCCTAAATCAGTTGTTCTTCCAATCTCCAGATGCCCACTAGTAGGTAACAGTTTTAGGCAGGCAGATGAGGACAATGTCAAGGGGAATAGACTTGGGGCACAGAGTGATTGAAAGCATAGAGGAATGATGTCATAGAAAACTCTACCACTGATTGGAGTTGAGGTTCCCCTGGCAAGCCTATAAAAGTAGCAAAGTCCACACCAGGAAAAAGCAAGGGGAGGGAAATCTGGAGTGTGAGAAATTCTGGGATCTTCAGTGTTTGGTGTGATACAGACTCCTAAGTGAAGGTACTGGTCACAAATTTCTGGCGTTTTCCATATCCAAGTATGAGAGAGCGTTTTGAGACACTTGTGCTTGTGTATACATTTGTATGTGATTTTAAGATTGTGTATGTGCTAGTGGGTGAGTCTGTGTAAGTGTGCGTTTATTTGAGATGGTTCTGCTGGTCCATAGGTACCTTAGATGTGTAATACTTCTGGACTAAATAAATACTGAAATGTTTTGCAGATCGTGTGTGTCTTGGGGAGAATGTGTGTTAGAGAGCATAGGTATTAGCGTGTGTGCAAGAGTTGGGCAGTGAGAGTGTTTATTTTTAACAGTGCAATCTAAAATGGGATCTGGTTGCTAGACAATACATTTTGCCACATAACTATTGAAGAAACACTATATATCCATGGCAAAATATGTTTTAGTCATCAGAAATGTCTTATTTTTAAATTCAATTTGTTGATAAATATTAATTAACCAGTCTGATAAAAATATTTAGAAATATATTTAAAGAAATATAACAGCAAACATCCTACAATACTGTATTGGATAAGCAGTTAGATGGATAGTTGGAATTGGTGGATGGATGGATGGATGGATGGATGTTTAATGCAGTATTAATCTTTTTATTAAAATGTGTTAGAAGAAAACAAGTTGCTTATAATAATAAGTAATACAAATCTCGTAAGTTCTACATTTGCTTTTCAAATAGGATTAAAATGTTTCTGTACTTGAACACACACAAAGATTTTATGCAGTACATAAACAATATTGACAATATTTATTTAGTAAAGTTCTGTAGCTTATTATATGGTCCAGTATCAGTTGTTCGCTTGAATTTAAATCTGTAACAGACCAGTTATCAAACTTTTGTTTGCTTTCCATATATTGGATGTTTATTTTAATGATGGTATCATATGCATTCATGTACCAATAATTCTCCTCTCTATAAATGTATATGTTTGCATATGCTTATGAATTTGATCTGTTTAGGTGCAGTCAGTTATTCCTGTGAAAGTATTCAATGAAAGTATCAATCAGCTTGTCCATCATCCAATTGCTTGAGCAGGGTCACAGTGGTCATAAAAAATATGTATGTGTAAGGACCAAGTTATGATGAAGGTTAGGAGCAGGGCTTTCCTGTGCCAAGCACCCAAGCAGAAGCTACTCCTTTCCAAACTGTCAGCAGTAACAGAGGTACAAAATAAAGTATTTCCCTTTCCTCATCTCATACAACATATATCACATGAGGGCCTATCACTGAAATAGAATATAAATCAGCCTCTTTTGTGCTGTCTAAATAAAAATAAATGTAAAATGAAAGTATCAATCAGCTTGTCCATCATCCAATTGCTTGAGCAGGGTCACAGAGGTCATAGGGCAGATTATCGCAAGATTAACAAATTGCCCATAATAAACATAATAAACTGATGGATTATTACCTTAATAGTAACAGTTAAGTGTATGAATCACATTATTGAAGAGACTGCTGAAGACTGTTGAAGGTTTGCACACATTTATCACTCTCAGGCGGAGGTAGGAGAGTGTACAGGTTTCATATGCTTTTAGCCAACATTACTGCATATTACTGTTTTCTGTGGAATATTCACAGACAAATTAAGGTGTCTCTGACCTAGCTCTTTGTTTATGGTGTTCATTGACACTGAAGAAATGGGCTGTGATATTTTACAAAATAGATTAATAATATTTAGTAACATCCTAAGAATATATTTGTCTGTGGGTGCAAATGAAACATATAGATAATATGAACAGCATAAAAAGACCACATACTTTTGCTTTGAAAACTGAAAGAAAGGTCAGATTTAGCATAGGGTTTGAATTCATTTTCAGGTAAGGATCAGATGAAATGTAAAGGTTGGTGTTGCAGTTTTGGTAAGAGTAGGTATCAACTGAATGTTTACTCTTATGTCATGTGTTTTTTTAAAGGGAGGAGGTGAGGTTTGTGGTTGGAGGCTGTAGGTCTACTCTGGTTCTCAGCAATGGGTGGGTGCATGGTTGATGATATTTTCACAGATGGAGGTGGGGTAAATGTAAACAGAGCTTTGTATCACAGAAACTCAAAACCACAGCCTGTGTCTAATAGCTCTGGGGGGAGGACACAATGTGAAAACCCACTTTTTCATTTTTCCAGAAACACATGCACACAGAGTACGAGAAAGCCTTAGTGCTGAACATAACCATGTGACAGAGATTTTCTGACAAACAAAAGTATGGTACTTTTTGTGAATTGATAATACATTAGGAACTAAACAACTTAAATTTTCAGTTTTGGAAAAATAATCACTGCACAATTAAACTCCTCTGCTGTGGCTTTGGTTCAACAAATAAGAAGACTCTGATGCTCGTGCATAGTGAAACAAAAAAAGTATATTCAAAAAGTGTTAATCAGTGACAAGTAGAGCTTAACAGCCAGCACTCTCTTGCATACCTGTGCACACATATGTATATACTCACATATAGTGATGAGCACATATATTATGGTGAGTGTGTATTATCATTGTATACATGAGTTATGTGCATCTGTGTATGTATAAGTATATTTCCCTGATATTTCTATTTCAGATGTGGTACTGTGGATATATACTGGTCTCCTGCCTCTTCACTGTCACTCTGTTCAGTTGCAGTGCCACTGGCTTCCAAGTGCTATCGGAAAAATCAGAGGTAAGACCATGAGATGTGGAGAGAAATCTGCACTTAGGGGAATAGGGTCCTCATTCAAAAGGAAAAAAGCAGAGGTTTTAAATTTAAAAATTGCATCTCTAAAAAATATGTATGTGTAAGGACCAAGTTATGATGAAGGTTAGGAGCAGGGCTTTCCTGTGCCAAGCACCCAAGCAGAAGCTACTCCTTTCAAAACTGTCAGCAGTAACAGAGGTACAAAATAAAGTATTTCCCTTTCCTCATCTCATACAACATATATCACATGAGGGCCTATCACTGAAATAGAATATAAATCAGCCTCTTTTGTGCTGTCTAAATAAAAATAAAGGTTCATAGTTGGGCAAGCTTATTCATTTGTATACTTTATTATCATCTTATTATGCAGATCCCCACACAATCAGATTGCTTTCCACAGGCTGTACAGTTCCGTTTGCTGGTATTTTTATGTTTTCCTGGTATATTTATATTTCAAAAATTCACTGCAATAAGACAATTGACCTTTGTAAACTTGGTAGATTTTAGTCATGATTTATTACATTATGTATGAGATTAGGGACTGAATGAGTGGGTTCTTACTGAAACACAGTCTCTCACCCAGAAGTTTCTGGGCCCTGTGGCTTTGAAGAAGTCTGGATCCCTGGTCTGGTCCAATGACGAGAAATCTTCCAGCACACAGAAAGACAAACTACTGCTCCTCGATCAACTGGTGCATGTAGAAAAGAATGCCATTGAAATCAAGAGGAAGAGAAGCTTCCCTGGAGAGAACATGCCACTGGATCGCCTGTCTGTCAGCACAATGGATACAAAAAGCAAACGGAAATACCACGCTGGGGAGGGAGGGAACGGGTAAAGAGCAAGAGAAACATTTAATATACTCAATAATCAAAGGAATGAAGTAGACTTTGAAACTGGGCACTTGATTCTTCTGATGGAATTATATCCATACTATCAAACAATGTTTCACAATTCATGCAACACATTTTAGTCAAAGATGGTCAATATTCTTTTCTCTCCATTTAATTTAGTAGGCAATGCATTTATGTCTCATCCACACAAATCATTTTCAAATTGTAAATTACATCAGTGATTAGGCATGCCAATACTTGCCAGTCTGTCAATAACCAAATAATTTTCATTATCATTTCTGCCTTTCCATGGCATTGTGCTAACTAGGCTGTCTGTTTTTTAAGTAATACAAATGTTTGAGTTCTTTTTTTGTCTGCTTTTTAAGACAGAAGAGTTGACAGACCTGCCCATGAGATTTTCAAACCTATATACCGAGTGATGAAATGATTTTGTAGACATTTGAGATGTACATCATGTGAAAGATTATTTCACACATCATTCAGAAGATTCATAGGAAATGTTGCCTTGGAAAAATATACAGGGTACATGTGTAGTGTAATTTTAAACACAGTTGTTTAAAATTCACAGTAGAATATTGTATTACTAGCAATAATATAATCTTTTCATCTCTTTTGACAGGAAGGCAGTGAGCATTCCTAGAAGGCAAATGAGTGTTCCTATTGACCGGATTGGAATTGGGCGATTCCCCAGCAAACGAGGCTAAACTCTGTTCATGCTCTGGTAGGCCTTGCTTCTCATCTGTGACCATTATGGTTTGCCATAATCTGATTAGTAGGGTGGCCAGGTAATCCATGTTAGCTAGGACAGGATTTGCAAAATACCATTTCAATGAAAAGTACCTGGATTACACTTAAGCACTCAGTTTGTGTACTGTTTGGTAAGTGTCCTATAATCATGCATGTGTCTCTAATGTTAATGTGAAACAGCTGATTTTCAATCAAGGAAACAAACCAGTAAAAGCATAAAGCACATGAAGAACTCAACTATTTAGCCAAGCACAGGAGCCTGTCAGTTTTAAAGTTATTTGTAAAGCCTGAAGTAGCTCAAGGTGTCCTGACATGGATTATAAGTAGCATGTTACTGTTCTGTTCCACAGGTGGTCCCTCACAAGTAGAAGACTGGGAAAATGTCAGCATGCTCCATGATACCAGTTTACTTTTAAATGTAGCTCAAAAAACATATAGACCCTCCTCACCCTGGTCTACTGGAGACTTTATAGCACCCAGACAACTGTAGAGCAGGGTGAGAGAAAAGCCCAAACGGCAGACTGAACACCCAGGACTCTGCCCCAATGCTGTGTGTTCAGTTCATTTAGCATCTCCCTTTATATACACAATGTCTTCACACTGACTTAGGGTCAACCTTGACATTAAAACTGATCATAAGGAAATATTTGTAGTGTTAATTGTTCATAAGAATATTAGAATATTTCTTTTACAAATATGTGCACAAAATATACATTCATTTGGTTTTAAATGAGCTTAAATTCATTAACTTTGAATATATCAATCCATCCATCCATTTTCCAAACCTCTTATCCTTCTGGGTCGCGGGAAGTCCGGAGCCTATCTCAGAAGCTACGGGCACAAGGTGGGAAACAACCCAGGCCGGGGGGCCAGCCCATCACAGGGCACACTCACACACCATTCACACCTATGGGCAATATAGTAACTCCAATTATCCTCAGAATTCTTTGCAGTCTTTGGACTGTGGGGGGAAACTGGAATACCCAGAGGAAACCCCACGACAACATGGGGAGAACATGCAAACTCCACACACATGAAACCCAGGCAGAGACTCGAACCCTGGTCCCAGAGGTGTGAGTCAACAGTGCTAATCACTGTGGTTGTGTTTCACGTTCACTTATCTAATAACATGCACTGACACTTACTATTTTCTCAGTGAAAACCATTATATCTGTTGTAACTCAACTGACACACCAAGCTAAAATTATACAGCAGGATATGATTTATAAAGACTTTGTCCCATTCCAATCAACTTCCCAAGAATATATGTTATACAAGTTGGATAAAAAAGTGCCAAGTTAGTCAAGCTAATAAAGATATTCAATAAAAGATCACAAACTTATTGCACATGATTAGCAGACTATAATATAATGAATGTCAGATTTGTACATATGATTATAAATATCCAATGTTCCAAACTATATTACGTGAGAGTCTAATTATGTATTAAAAAATGAAACATAATAAAAAGAAAATATACATTGTGTTACAGACTGGTAGGTACAAGTCTGTATTTCTGAATGAATTATCGCAAAAACAATAACATGACATTATTCAAACAATAGCCACTAAAATATTGAGATCAACACAGAGAATGTTTAGTTCAACCAAGGAGACCTTAGGCAGGTGACATGACTGTTTATTTGGTTAAACATTTTAAACGAGTCTGAGAAGAGTGATTTGGCGAAGCCCGTCTC